AAAACTAATCGAGTTAGATATAGGGTTATATATATATAAATGATCAGGATGAAGAGACGAGTTGAAATCCGGGTGACTGTCTGTCCGTCCGTCCGTCTGTCCGTCTGTGCAAGCTCTAACTTGAGTAAAATTGAGATATCTTTATGAAACTTGGTAGACATGTTTCTTGGTACCGTGAGACGGTTGGTATTGCAGATGGGCGTAATCGGACCAGTGCCACGCCCACAAAACGCCATTAATCAAAAACAAATAAATTGCCATAACTAAGCTCCGCAATAAGATACAAGACTGTTATTTGGTACACAGGATCACATTAGGGAGGGGCATCTGCAATTAAATTTTTTTTTAAAAAGTCTCGCCTCTAATAGGTTTAATGTGCATATCTCCTACACCGCTAATGCTATAATAACAAAATTCACTGGAAACAAATATTTTTAGCACTTCTATTGACGGTGTGAAAATAGTTGAAATTGGGTGGCAACTCCGCCCACTCCCCATATAACGGTACTGTTAAAAACTACTAAAAGCGCGATAAATCAAGCACTAAACACGCCAGAGACATTAAATTTTATCTCTGGGATGGTATGAGATGACTATATAGGAACCGCGTTCAAAATTAAACAGTGGGCGTGGCACAGCCCACTTTTAGGAGAAACCCCATTTCTTGGGATCTGCTTAACCGTTTTCAACCAAATTCGGTGCATAACGTTTTTTTCATGTTTCTATGTCATAGTGCGAAAATGGGCGAAATCGGACTACAACCACGCCTACTTCCCATATAATACCATTTTAAATTCCATCTGATTCTTTCACTTTCCACTATGCAAATCAGGCAACACTGACTGTATCGGGATAAAACTTTCCGTGAATAATGCGATTAAAGTATGTCACCTTGTGGCCAAAAATTGTCTAAATCGAACCAAAACTGTTCAAGCCCCTAAGCTTGTGGATTGACTCAATCTCAAACGAGTATACTATTTGACTTTGCGAGAGTATAAAATGTTCGGTTACAATAAAATTATTTCAAATCTAAAAACAAAAAAATGTGGAAAACGGTTGGCCTCAAGGGCCATCCCTGCAACCTCCCGCTAATTTCATACGTTAGCGTTCAAATTTCGCTTTTTTCACTGCTTTTGTTTTATGTTTAATGGGAGTTTAATATAACACTATTTCCCAAATTTCTCAAAGACTAATTAATTTTGGTGACTTCTTTCGTTAACGATGTCTCGTTTTTAAATTTTTTGTTTTCGATATCTCGCAAATAAATCAACCGACCCGGTTTGAGGCAAACGATGTGTTTCTTCAAGGTTTAGAACTGATTAGTTTTTGGTGTCGATTGGTCAAGTCGTTTGGAAGAAATTCGAAAAAAACGATTATTTTTAAGATTTCTCGAAATCTACTGGTCCAATTGGGTCCAAACTTACACGAAATTCAAGTGCAATGAAACACTTTGGAATGCCGTTTAGTTTATTCAAATCGGTTAAGCCGTTTAAAAGTTATAAGAGGTTCACATACATCCACGCACACACACATACAGACATACGGACATCATCGTAGAAATGTTCGGGGAAGCTTCCTCGACCCTCAGAACGTCGAGATCTGTTGAGAACTCGATTTTTGCAAAATGGGGTCAAACCAATATCTTCCCGATTTTTTGAAAATTTTAAATTTTTATAGTTTAAATTTTAAATTATAATTTAAAAATTGCACTTAAAAAATCGAAATTACTATTAAAAATCTTATTTTCGATCTTTCGACCTCACCTGGCAAATGTATCCCAGAATTATTATCTGACAAATATAGGTATATAAGAAGATCTTGTGTAAATTTCAAGCAGATCGGTCCAGCTTTTTCGAAAAAATATTCCTCACTGGCTCTGAAAACAGCGTTTCCAGTAAAACGGATTTAAAATTTAGAGAGCCGATTACACTAAGTTAAAAAATGCATACAAAACGCTCATATCTCCGAAACTATTATTCGACTCGAGTTCAAATTTTCGTAGAATATTATCAAATATGTCTGAATTCAATATAAATTAAAAATTAAATCGATTTTTTTAAATTAAAAAGTGGACCTACCGATTTAACATATAAAAGTCGCAGAAACAAAGCTTTTCGAAATTATATCAGAGGATAATCAAATGGAATAATCTTCACAATGCTTGAACAATGGCATTAAAAAAACGACAGTCGGAAAGTTAATGTGATTACTAGATATCTATCATGTCCTCAGTGATTTTTAAGAACACTTAAACGGGACGCAAATATGTTCAGATCGGTAACAGTGAGCTCAAAGCTAGTCAAGGTATGCATGACTACACTATTAATGCTATTAAGCGACTTCCATATAAAACTTGTCTGGGTGCCTGGCCAAAGCGGAATCGTCAGATATTTTAAGGGTGATGAGCTTATAAGAAAGGGTAGCCTTACACAATTTGTCAAAGTTTCAGGGAGGAAGATGAAGTAAAAACAGACTAAAATTAAAGCATCTCGGTTGCCTTACTTTCAACGAATACGACACCGACTGGAATAGATATTAGCCGCCTAAATAAATTTGTGACTGGCTCTAAGAACTTTGTCGTTGTGTTACGGTCTTTTTGATTCATACTTTGCTTTCGGAAGTTGTGATTCAAACATCCGAGAGAGTATTTGCTTGGCTCACTACAATATGAGTGCTTAAAACTGTTGAATTTATAGGGCGCCTGCATATAATCTGTAATAAAAAACTCCTATAAAATCGAACAGGCTGTTTACTAACAAATAAGGCATCTGGAATAAGAGATTCGAAATATCAATAATATGGATGTGGCCCTACGATGTAGTTTATCTTTTAAATTTAATTCGTTATATAAAATTTTTTGTCCATCTTTCATCATTTTAAGATGAATGTGATTGTGTATTTTCTTCATCTAACTTCCAAACATTTGCAAATTAACAAAAATAAATTTATATTTGAAAGATGAAGTTATAAGAAGAATTAATTTTTACTTAGTAAAATTTTTTGTGGCAGCTGGCGTCGAATACGTATATGAGGGTTTTTCTTCGAAGATGAAATCTGTCAAGGTTAAGATATTGTAGTGCTTATGATTACCCAAAAGAAATCAGCGCTATAAATAATACAATATAATTACTTTTGTTGATTTTCAGTTGATTTGCACCGCAAAACCCTGATATTGGAGATGTAAAACTCATTCTAGCGTAAGTCTTTTTTATTACAATCAAAAACACCGTCACCAATAGCTTTAAAATATTATACTACAATTACTGCCCTCTGAATCAAAATTTCTCACGTTTTGTATGTGCCAAGATATACATATAAAATATATATATAATATAATATATATACTTTCATAATCCAAATATAATAAAAATTTGAATTTTAATTAAGGCTTATCGCTAACTAAATCTTTCAAAAACGCTCAAATTCTTAGAAGTCAATATTCAAACCTCACTTTGGTTCATAAAAGACCAATAAATCTCAAAAATATCACGCATATGTGACCACAATGCCATAAAAGACATTTCTTTACAAATCGGCACGAAAGATGAAAGACGAGCAACACTTTATGCATAACCACATTTAATTTCTTTTATTCACAGTCATAGATTAATATTATGATTATACGCATCCCATAAATGTATATTCGTGAATGTTTGCGGTTTTAAACGCTGCAATAAATAATACATATTAGTTGCCACACGAGCTGGCCGGGCGACATTAGTCATTAAGGCAATCTGAATAGGGGCATGCGCGTGCCATGCGACAACTGGACATATCATTTTTCATATGAATATTGATCAATTGTCTTCCCTTTATCAACTTTCTCGAACGCCGTTGAGCTTCAAGCTGAGTTGAAGCTAAAGTCGCGCTTTGACAGCCATGAGTCACATGTCCAAGTTTCATGCGGCAGCAGCAAGCGGACTAGCACAACATCAGGCAATTAATCTTGCGTGAGTGATGCCGTTAATTTGCCGTATTTAAATGAGTTTTCCTTTTATTTTGTTTTTGTTTTGGGTTGTTTTGATTTTCATTATTCAAATCATACATATGTATGTATTGAAAACGATGCACGATTTATGACCCGCTCAACTCTCGATACGCTTTATTTACATATTGTGATTGTTATTATTGATATTTCATGTTCTTTTTTTTTGTGTTTTTTGGTGAAAAAAATTTTTTAACACAGGTGTCACCGAATGGTATTGTTTTAGTCTGTCCTCGTTTTTGTAACTAAATTTTTATTATTTTTCTTAAATTGGACGACGAAAAATACACCAATGCGCATTGCTACCATCATTCAGTCAATTTTAAGAGTCTTTATCTGAGCTCGGCTCACAGCTCACCGATATTCATGAGCTGCCACCTGAAGCCTAGAAATTTCGTTTTTATATTTTTAGTCCCTATATTTAGTGTTAAGCTTATTTTGCTTGTTTTGTTGCACTCTCATTAGCAATGCAAATTTTTGATAGTAAAATATCAATGGAACCCCCTAGAGCTATTATCGCTGCGTCAAAAAGTCTGTGCATTTGATTTCTTCTTAAATTCTTTTGTATAATTGCCAGCGTAACTAATTAGGGTTCAAAGCGAACGCGTGCGATAAATAAGCACACATACACTGTTAGGTGGTGTGTTTTGAATCGAATTTGAAATTATAATCGAAATTCTATATTTAATTTTGTTTAAATACGAACGATTTATTTTGTTTATTTAGAGTATAGTTTCGTTGCTATTCTTCGCAAATAAAAATACATAAAAATATATTTTACAGAAAAAAGAAACAGAAAATATGATTACCAAAGAGAAACGATATACAAGTAGGTAGCCAGCATCTTACAACCAGCTATTTTTTAAATAGTCTACTATCATTGCTGGTTCCGTTACGAACGCAAAACACTCTTTTACGCTTTTAAAGAAAACATGAAACAAAATTCTAAACAAATCTTAACACAATTAATAATTTTACTAATATAACGACATTTATACAGATATTTGATACTTACATCCCCATTTCCGGACTTCGCGCAAATATTCATTCCAGAATGCGCAACGTCCTTCCAGTGGGCCACGTTGCAGCTTCTCCTCTTTATCATCGGTTGAAAAGACGTAATACACTGGATCTTTCTTCGAAAAATTTGGCCATTCTTCGCCATCTGTGGCGGGATTGCTGTAAAAGACAATAAAATTTAGAATTCGCAAAAAAATAAAGACTTCAATAATATCATTGCGCTTGACCCTTATTATATTGTGTTTTACCTTTTTCGCTAACCAATAATCCTATTCCATAATGTGTCTTAAATAAAAACTATGTATTGCTTTTTTAAAGGCATTTTCAAGAGTGACATCTCCTTCCTCCATCTGATTTCCTTTCGAACTTGGTATAATGCCGTTCTTTGTACTTTTGGACAATGCCTACATGGTTTCTTTGGCTCAAGTTTTCGACTTTTACATATCTAAGCGACTGATTGAGGTTTCAAAATATAATTCATTCTGATCTTCAAAATCATACAATTATATTCTGTTAAGGGGCACACCTAATGTGACAGCCTATAAAAAGCCGCTTTTTATTTATTTTAAATATTTCATTAAATACAAAGTAAAATTTTAAAGAGAAAAATTAAATATTTATTGAGTCATAGCATCAAAAACTAATAAGTCAGTGTATTGAGAGCACGGTATAAAGGACATGCAGAAAAATTTGATTGCGATCGAATCATTGGCTCCGAGTAATCGCTCAAGCAACTTGGAAAAAGAAAGTTTTGAGCAAAACGCGTTTAAAGATAAACCGATAGAATTGATTGAAGAAGACTGTAACTAAAAAAATATTTGAGATATCCATTTAAAATGTATATTATGTTTTTAGGCATAACCTAACGAAAGATGCAAAAATCGATTTTTTTTTATTTCACACTAGGCGTGCCTCTTTTATTTCACTTTAATACATATATTACTTCTACGGATTTTTACTATATTTACTTCTGTTTTAATTTTAAAATTTTTGAGGATTATGATTTATGTAGTTTCGGGGGATCCCAGTACACGTACTTTTTTCAATAGCATACTTTTGACAGATCATATGTGAGTCGTGTTTAGTTTTGTTTGACATTTTATTATGAAAAGACTTTATCCTGAACAACGTCTACAAATTATTCAACTTTATTACGAAAATTCACGTTACGTAAAGAATGTGTTTCGCGCGCTTCGCTCAACTTATGGTCAACATAATCGGCATACTGAGCGTACACCATCACCCAACATTCATAATTGAGTTATATTCGATCGAATAGACCACGCCCAGCATGCAGTAAAGAAAATATAGCGGTCGTAGCTGAGAGTGTACACGAAGACCATGGAGTCGATTCGGCGCCGTTCGCAGCTACTCGGACTGACGTATGGCACGACTTGCCGCATTTTACGTCGAGATCTTAAATTGAAAGCTTACAAAATACAGCTTGTGCAAGAACTGAAGCCGCTCAATCTGCCCAAGCGACATCGCTTCGCTCTATGGGCTCTTGAAAAGTTTCAAGAAGACCCGACGTTTTGGAGCCAAATTTTGTTCAGCGATGAGGCCCATTTCTGGCTTAATCAAACGAAGAGCAACCTGAAGAGATTCAAGAGCTGACATTTCAACCAGGAAAAACAACAGTTTGGTGTGGTTGGTGGCCGGTAGAATCATCGGTCGATATCTCTTCAAAAATGATACCGGTGAGAATGTAAATGTCAATGCCGACCGTTATCGCGCATTGATAACCGACTATTTGATGCCTGAAATTAAAGTTCAAAATTTCGGCGATATTTGGTTTCAACAAAATGGCGCCACTTTCCACACATTGCAGCAATCACTATCAAATTTATTGAGAGAACACTTCGGTGAACAGATAATTTCACGTTTTGGGCAGGTCGATTGGCCACCAAGATCGTGTGATATCACACGGTTAGACATTTTCCGGTGATGATATGTAATGTCTTATCATCATGGATCAGGCGTATCATTCGCCAGTTACCAGTCGAAATGCTCGAACGAGTCATCGAAAATTGGACTTAACGGATCTTCACAAAATAAATGCCAAAGGATATTCTTTCGAATTATAACAAACATTCCCCATTAAAATTGAATTTTTTGTGTTTTTTTCTTAAAAAAAGTAGGAAGCCTCAAAATGGGTCACCCTGTCAAATATCCGGAAAATGGGAAGAAGCCTACTTAGCCTAGCACACATATGCAAGTACAATTTATGTGAGAACACTATTTATGCCTATTTGTTCCCAGTTCCCTTTTAGCGTGGTGAATTTTTATTTCTCCACATACTGTATTCGCTTGTCCCCCTCAGCAGAGAATGTTAATAACATTCTCTCCTATTTATTAACATTCTCTGCTTATTCATATTATAAAAGCTGCTATAAAAAGCTTAGTTACTATAAATTTTGTAGCTTTTCGGGCTTTTCGCACCGAAATACAGCTTTGGTTCAGCGCTAAATTAACTTAACGAAAGGCTCACATGCCTCAAGAAAAGCTCTGTTTAAAAAGCTTTCGTATATTTTACACATACCAAATTGAATTTAGGCGTAAGCTTAATATTAACGCGTTCACAGCCCAAATATAATATATTATAATAAACACATGAACAATTCTTATTTGGCAAATAAATATACGGCTGGTGGCAATATGACAATTTGAAGCTACAGGGACTACATACCTTGATAAATATCTACATAGAACTCAGTTTAATGACAAGATTTTGGTAATATTGTACATACATATATTCAAAAATAACTGAGGTAAACAAATTAAAACAAATTTGTACAAATATTGCAACAGAGTTGAGAAAATTGTATTTTCTGTGTGATGTTAACAAATAAAGTTGAATAAGAGTCATTATTAGGCGAAATTGAGAGTGGATTAATCATAATAATATTTAGTATCTTATTTACTTATATTGTAAGTAGCAGACTCCCTTAATTTCATTACAATATTTTGCTTCGTGTCCGAAATATTTATATTAAAATTATATTAAAATACAAATAATAAGTCAAAAGAGAAATTCAATATTATACAATACATTCATTTAATTTTAAATAAAGTTATCTTACATATTGACCGATATATGCGGTATTAGCTCAACCGGAAATACGAAAATCTTTATATTAGGTATATGCGTGCTAGTGAAGCTATTGTCCCGGTTTTACTCATTTACTTACAAAATGACTCATTTTTCATTGGAAAAATAGTATCTCTGAATTTGAATACTATCCTTCAAAGATTGACTGATATTTTCGCTAAAAAGACAGTGATAGACACTGGGGTTAAAAAATTCGGTATCTGGGGGCTTAAAACATTTTAGTACGGTGCATACCTTAGAGGCACTATTTGGAAAGGTTTTATTTCGATAACTTCATTGGTGCGTGAGTATAAATGTTAAGAAATAGTAAATGAAAAATAATAACTGCGTTTTATGTATTACACATTATAAATCTATTTAAAATTGCTATTTATTAAAGTAAATAGCTTTTTGACCTTGCAAACAATACAAAAGCGTATAAAATTACAAAATGCCTATCACGCATGTATATATTTATTTATTTACGCAACAATTACCTATGTGTACATATGCACTTATTTACTTAACCATAAATATTTTTTGCTAAATTTCCTGAGCTTCTCAAATAAAAACTTTTTAAACTCAATCGTCAGTAAATTCATAAAAAAAATAAAAAATCAATTGATCTGCATACTTTGCTTAATGCACACAACCAGATACACAAATATAATACGCAGATAAACATTGCCGAAAAATGTTAGCAGAACTGCAATCATATTGAATGGCAGAGGCGAGGCAGTCGATTTGTTAAATTCGATATTAAATTACGAAGAATAAATTAATTTGCATAAAAGGAATTTAGTTATTGAAAATAAATAGAATTGATATTTGAAGTTAATAATATTAAAATATAGAAATAACATTATTATACTCTTGCAACATGTTGCTACAGAGTATAATAGTTTTGTTCACTTAACGGTTGTTCGTATCACCTAAAAGTAATCGAGTTAGCTATCGAGTTATATATATACATTGTGACCAGTAAGTTTCCGGAAATTTTCATTTAAACTGCTCGCGCTGAATTGTTTTCCGCACTTTTTTTTTGTTAAGTTGGTAGCCGTCCTTAATTACTATCGCGAATATAAGCGCGATCTGTCAACCAGTTTGTTTGCAGCAGCTGTTGAAATAAGTCGACGTCAGTCTCAGTTACAATGGCAAAAAATATTGAACAAAGAATTTGCATCAAATTTTGTGTTTCGAACCAAATTTCGTGTGCGGAATCGTTGCGAATATTAGAAAAGGCTTATGGTGAATCTATTCTATCGAAAACCCAAGTCTACGACTGGTGGTCTTTAAGGAGGTCGAAAAACCGTCGAAGACATGCCGCGTTCCGGTCGTCCTTTGACGGCTTGTTCCAAAAGAGCTGAATTTTTTGCAAAAAGACCATAGTTGTGAACGATTTTAAGACCAAAAACTCGTTCAATACCATCGATTAATCACCGTATTCACCGGATTTGGCCCCATGAGACTTTTTTTGTTTACGAAACTCAAGTTAGCACTCCGTGAAACCCGTCGACAGCGCCTATAAGACATTTTTCGATGATTGGAAAAAGAGATGGCATATGTGTATTGCTTCAGAAGGAGCATATTTTGAAGGCGACAAAATAAATATTGATGAAGATTTAACATTTTTCGCTTCATTTACGATTTCCGGAAACTTTTTGGTCACAAAGTATAAATGATCAGGATGAAGAGACTAGTTGAAATTCGGGTGACTGTCTGTTAGCCGTTCGTCTGTTCGTGCAAGTTCGCGATAACTTGGGTATACATTGAGATATATTGGTGTGTTGTGTCATAACTAAGCCACAAATTAAGATACAAAACTGTAGTTTAGTACCTCCTGTACTGTCGCTATTGGCAGGAGTACATGTGTGGGCGTGGCTCGGCCCCCTTAATGGTTTAATGTACATATCTTCCAGACCGCTTAAGATATAATATATCAACCAAACTTGCTGAGAAAAAGAATTTTATCACCCCTTCAAACTCTCTGAAAATAGGAAAAATCGGTTAATAACTACACCCACTCCCCATATAACGCTTATGTTGAAAACAACTAAAAGCAGCCACAAGCATTAAATTTCACAACCAGTAGGAGAGGGCTATATAGGATATGGTGTGGAAATTGGACAATGGGCTTTTCACAGCCCATATTTCGATGAAATCCTATTTTTCTAGAACTACGCGACCGATTTTAACCACACATTTCTATTAGACACTGCAAAATTCGGCGAAATCGGTTGACAACCACGCCTAGCTCTTATATAACAAACTTTTAAATTCCGTCTGATTCTTTCACATTAAAATATAAAACTAGACCCCAATAAAGTTATCAGAATACAACTTTGCACAAATAGTGCGCTATTGTATTGGTATTTCATCTTACATCTATTGTCGATATACTAGAATCGGACTATAATTTATGCCAAAAATGGGTAAAAGCAGGTCAACACTTCCCTTAGCACCCATATACCTAACATAAGTATTTTCCGCTTCACTTTATACCGCATCTATCGGTCAATATATAAGAAATCTTAATGAGATTCAGAAAGAATATTTTTCTAATAACAGTGTATCACCTTCTCTTAAATGAATAAAATCACGACGACACTTTCCTTAGTATGATATAAAGTATTGCCAACACCTGAAGGTGTTCCGCCGCCTGTGTTCCGTGCAAGTTCCAAGAGTATGAAATGATCGGTTACACCCGAACTTAGCCTTTCCTTACTTGTTTCAATTAACTTTTTTATATCTCTTCTAAGCCACAAAAAAACCACTTGTTTTAAAAAAGTACTCAGTTGCCCACCGAGGCGGATGAGCAACACAAAAAGCACGCAAATACTGATAAGCACGCAAACACATACACATAAACTATCTGCTTCCATTCCGCTTGAGAAGTTTACAGGCGAAAACTGTTGCAATTAAAATTGCACTACAAATCCACTTGCGTCGGCAAATATACTTTCGAGTGCCGGCTACTCTTCACTTTTTATTGCACGCCAAAGCTTATTAATACTTGCAACGCAACCGATGTCAGTGTGTGTGCTTTACTTCTCGAATGGTGTATTGCAATATTATTAACACATTGAAAGTTTCATAAACAGCGATCGTTGGTACTTACCCAGTTTTAGCAAATTCAATAACGGCATTCAGCATCCGCTTGCCCAGCTCTCGTTCAACTTGCCGATACTGTAGCGATGTATTCAATGGTTGACCGAAGAAGTACTCGATTTCATCGCCGTGCAAGACGCCCATCCACTCACCCCATAGGGAAGTGCTAGTGCGCTAAAAGAATATATGAAAATTTTTTGCGTTTTTTATTGAGAAAAAATTAAGTACTATTTTAAAAATGGAAGTAACTCACAACTATGAGTAAATTTTGTAGAACTATAAAACAGTAAGAATTTTAAAATTATTTATTTTTAAAGACTTTTTTGAAAATTTTTAAAGTATGCGAATAAAAATAATAAACTTATTAGCCGAACTTATCCACGTTTTTACAATTTTCTACCACCTTTATAGCCTCAGCTTACACACATTTAACTCATACGTTTTTCAGGTATATATACATACTCATATATAATATATTAAATATAAACATTGCTGTCTATTTCTGCCCTCACCAGTTGACTTTCTACTTGATTTTGCACTTAAAGCCTAAATTATTTGTTCGCTGCTTACATCTCTATCTAAAATTATCAACCCTCTCCAGCAACACATTGAGCAACCATGGCAATCTCAATCAGACTTTCGAACCTCCCTTCATCATTCTTTCGGTAGAGAAGTGTCACAAATGGGTCGATTGTAGTATTTACCTAATTTGTAATTTCTGCTACTATTTTCCTTTTATTTTCATCTTACTCATACAAACATATATTCTGTTTAGGAAATTGCTATAGAAAATTGCCGGTGATAATAATCTGATTTCATAAAACTTATTTTTGGAAGATGTATTTTTGTTTTTCATGAAAAATTTTATATGGTATTTTTTTCGATGTCTCAATAATTTTGCATATAAATGTGGGTAGACTTAGGTATTAATTGAAGATTGAATAACTGTACTTATAAGCGAGTTAATTTATATAATATGTAATGAGATATTGAACTTACATACTTGTAGTTTGAAGCCATTTATGTATAGGAAAGCGAATTGTATATTTGATGAGACCTCGCAGCTCTTAAAAAAGATATTGAAAATATATTTTTCAATATTTCTATATTTCATTGTGCTATGAGAAGCTTAGTATTTCAAATGTATGACAATTGCCACGGGCAAAAAACAACTAAATGAAACTCGGGCTTAGAACTTATAGGTCGCTCAATTAATCAGAGAACACACTATACTCCGAAGAGAAATTCAGATCTGTAGCAATTAGCAGGGGTGTTAACATCAATCATGCATACATATATGGATATACCATATAACTCATCTCTGACAAAATATATTTCGTACTTAGTACCCATTTTTAAGTAATAATTTGTTTGGACCCGTATTCCTGGCGAAGGTTAAGCAAAATAATTCCTTTTTAGTGCATATTAACATTCGATAAAAAATAAAAATAACAAATTGAGAGAATAATGGGAGCTTTCGTAAATCCTACTATATGTAGTCCTTTGTAAAGCCACAAAAGTGGAATTGCTGTATCATATACTTATAATACTCTGCAAAGCGCCTTGTGGCCAATACAAATTTGCTTAAGCGTTTAATTTCTATTCTCATTCGGTCGGTGGGATATTTGAAAAGTTGATCTACGAAGTGTTTAAACCTTGATATCGCAAACGCGAGATAGTAAAGATGGAAGTGTTGAGATGTTTCCACTTCATTTTCTTCCATACAGCTTCTACAGTGAATCCGTTAAGATTATATACCTTACAGAGTGGACGTCGATGGGACAATGACCTTCTAGAACTCCCACAACTGTTCGGTAATAGAATACAGGAGGAACGTGGATCACAGACCCGTTCTCAACAACTGATAGCGGGGCTAGGGCGCTTTTTCTTGGCAACTTATCAGGTTTACAGCTATCTGCGATTTCACTTTGGGCAACTTTATTAGTCTTATCACAAAGTGAATCCATGCCATTAATAATGAGATTAAGCATTCATTAACTTGGCTTTAATGGACGGTTAGTGAGCTCAAGACTAATATCTCCGCCCTGCTATAAGAGCGGATAGTCACTTCTCTGATGGAGACTGCACTCAGGAGCAGTAAATCGACAGCTACCTTAATGGCAACAACCTCGACTTGAAAAACACTACAGTAATCAGCAAGTCTGAAGCTGAAGTTAATAGAATAAATATGGTGTCGTAGAGCCAGAGGACTACTTTCGGTGAATGACCGCACCTCTTGCTAATGACCCATCTGAAGCAATAGATGGCAGTCAATACCTTCCTTACTTTCTCAAGCACTAAATACTTCATCGTATCTGCAGGTTGCAGGCGGATGCTTTTCATTCGCGGTAGTGGTGCTTCAGTGCTCTTGTATCCGTCTTCATAAGCAATCACTCGGGAACCACGCTCCTCAGGTTTTTTCAGCAGGTCGTTGACTACCACCACATCTTAGAATTATATATCTATATTTGAGAAACATTAAAGTATCTCTGCTCAACGAAATAATAAGAACCGATTTGATTATAGTTTCCCAGACTGCTCACCAAAAAAGAATATATTATATAAACTAAAGTACTCTGACCTCTGATATGAAAAAATTTCCTCAAAAGTCAAAATGTCACCACCACAAGCAATTTTCTATGTGCATTGATCTAGTAACCTCAACTCAACCACATGTTGACCTGCGGCGATGTCGTTCACTAGCTGGACCAAAGGAGAGAGGAAGCTTTGCGACATCGCTTACACACGTGTATGTCGGACAGTTAGGCAAACCACAGCAGAGGCATAGTACCGTTATAATATTTCTCGCATTTTCGCTTAAGCTGCCAGCTCGTAAATACCCGACATGTTCGCATGGAAGTGTGGTTTTGCGTGTGCGCTTCGCTTCACTCCATGTAACAAGGCTCTGAAGATTATGCGCTCGATAGAGCTTACACACATGGAAAAGTAAAGAGGTTAGCGGCAATGCTCTTCAGGGGTACACTTTAGCGGTGCGTGTGTTAACTGCTTGCTCAATGCAATTTGAGGGAGCTGACTGCCTATGATGTGATAGGGAAGACGGTAGAGCATTAGTTTGCTTATATTGGTAAGCATGCATATACATATAAACATATATATCACTATCAGCAACTATGCACAAGCTGTTCATAAGTGCTTATGTGAAGGTATGTTAGTTGTTGGTTTCTCTGTTTGTGCCAATATGCTCACATTCGTTTACGAAGTGTTTATGTGCCTAAATGTATGCTATTAATTTTGCTTTTGCAGTAATTTAACTTATCTCCTTAAAGCATGTCTACGCTGTCGCATGTTTTTCCACCATATCTCATCTATATAATTACATCAATGTATAGACCACTCCAAAACCATGCTTTTAGGAAACTGTTAAGTAACTTGCTTTTCGGGCACATTAAGTGACCTCTTAAGCGTTTAGTTGAGGAATTAAGACACATATCTAATTTAAGGAAATGTGTGTGAAGCTACGTTGCTATTATAACGGGTGCTTTTTTAGACATGGGGTTTTCGATGAGGCAAGACGCATTGCGCGCTGCGATGAAGATTATTATTGCGCAAAAATACTGATTGGGGCCATATCCCAATTGCTGCAAGAAGTGGTTGAAAATTGAACCTCTTGGCTGGAATTTATTAGAGCCCGCCGCAGCGGTCACTTGCCAAAAATCATTTTTAATACATAATGGCCAACCCTTATCTTTATAAAAAAGCTAAATTTCTGGTCATAGTACATGTCTAAAAAAACTACCCAACTTAAAAATGTCTTAATTTAAAAGGATTTCTTTACTTCACCACTAATTTTAGGATTATCAAATCAATTTCGAAATTGCCCTATTGAATTTAAGAAATTTAACGACTAGATGTTGAGAAAAAAACTTTATATTAAATTAAAAGACACAACGTTCCACAAATATTGTATCGGAAAGATAGAACTGATTGTTGACTTTTCGATAAATTTACATGTTTACGGCTGGAATAAAATTCGAGGGACTATCTTATATTATATTACAATTTTTTTTACGGTAAGAGAGTTAGATGGGATATTCCTTCGAAGTTCCTGATACCAATATATCTGACTCTGTTAGTTGGACCTTAATTACACTCAAGCCCTACTAAAAGCGCGATAGAAAAATTGATAGGATAAATGCGGCAGAGACATTAAGGGGGTTAATACTATCCCAGATATAAAATTTAATGTCTCTGGCGTGTATAATGCTTGATTTATCGCGCTTTTAGTAGTTTTTAACAGTACCGTTATATGGAGAGTGGGTGGGGTTGTTATAGCTTTAGCAGTTTAGGAGAAATACACATTTAACCTATTAGGGGGCGGGACCACGCCAATGAACAATGATTGTAACTGTTCAAGCGCCTAGGTACTGAATGTGTGGACCCCAATGCCTACAGTTGACTGTTTACCGAAAATAAGTTGTAAGATATATTATTTAAATTCATATAATAAAATAAATAAATGAAACTTTCGATAATACTTGTAGTATGTTTTTGTGTCAAAAATGGGTTGAATCCAATCAATACTTCCTTTAATATAAAATTTTGCCAACAACAGAAGTAATTTTCCGGGCTTTGATGCTTGCATGTTGCGAGAGTATAAAATGTTCGGTTACACCCGAACTTGGAACTTCCTTACTTGTTTAATATAAAGTTTTCCTAAAACCTGAGGGTATTTTCTTTACTTAGCCCTTGGATTCTCGGAGACTTTTGCTATGATTTCTCTTCTTCGCTGATGAGAAGCATCGGATTGAAAAAGGGTTAGAGAAAACTTGGATAGTTGAAGTATTCATGATCTTTATATTAACTCCTCATTAATTTTTAAATGGTTTACCTGAATTGGAAAAACCACTTTAACGATAGTGTCGAAAAATTTTAATTAAAATGCGCTACGTTTAGAGTACGTACTTTACTCAATACTCGATTCAACACCCACATGACTACCGCCGCCAAAATTACTTAATTTTTGAAGCAATCGCCTGGCAAAGCATTAAATCAATGCAAACTCTGCCGATAATGAAAATCGTGCCACATAAATATCTCGGACAGATAATAATTTAATGTATTCATTAAGTTTACGTTAACTGCGCTACGAGGAATTGTTGTGATTTGAACAAAAACAAATTAAAAAAAAAAAATAAAACAAAATATCAGCCATT